TGGATTGTGCTTTAATCTCAACATCAATCCGACCACCTACAACGCTTACTACTCATTTCTGCTAGGACAGATGAACTCTTTGAACATTAAAGTTCCTCGCATGTTACAAATCTGCTCATCTGAAGAAGAAGAAGACGACTTCGAGTGAAGAAGTTCGGTGAGCAAGAAGTGTTTAATTTTTTGTTCTAAATTAGATTAAAAAAAAGATCAAGCACTAGCTAGCAGATGATTTTTGCTTCTTTCTATGCGTCAAGTATTCTGTTCTTAGTAAATGTTGCAGAGGAGAATCAACGGAGTTACCAATTATTACCTTATAATTTATGAACATTAACTTTTGATTTTAGTGAACTTTATAAGAAACCTCGTGTTCCTTTATTAATGAACTTCTATTTTGTTAATTTTGTTAATAGGACTTACTATTTTGTACGATTTGATTCTATTTTATTTTATTTTTATAAATGATGATCCTAGGGATGTAAGATTATGATTAAACGATTATTATAATAAAATGATAAATATAATGAGAAATTATTTTTAAAAAATAAAGAATCGCTTAATATAAAAAATGAATATACTTTTTTAAATTTGCTGAACAATTTAATTCTTAAAATATTGAATTTTAATATATTTTAAATTTTATATTATTATTTTTTAAACGAACTGACACGTGAGCTAACAAGTCCAGTAGGGGCTGGCTTGCTCAATCTTGGCTCGTTAGTTCATCGAGCTCGGCTCATGAGCCATTTATCTAGTCAAGCCCGAACCGACTCACTAGTCAATTTCACTCACTTATACCCCTAAATGATTCTTATTTTTTTTAATATTGGATAATAAATAATAAAATAATTGATTCAAATTTATTGGAGATACAAAAGAATCATATCATATAAGACATTGGCGCCTCTAGCTCATCTCCTAATGATTGTTTAATGAATAATAATTTTGTGGATGTACCTGTTAGTTTAATTGATCCTCAAGGCTTAGTGTATAATGTGAAGGACAATTCCGGCATTGAAGCTCGTGTGCATCTGGACTGGCTTCATGGTTCGTCTGATTCAAATTCGGAATCTGATTCTTTGGAACCAATTGGGGATGGCGATCCTGGGAACTCTTTTAACTTGTTGCGTGACAAACCTCTTGTCTCTGTTGCCTCTCGTGGTAGGTATCGTGGCAGGGGCAGACGTGGTCGTTGATGATTTTCTTGATGGTGTTGCTCCTCTGGTTTATTTGAGTTGTCATTTGGTTGGTAGCATATGGCTTTTGTTTACTTGGCATTTTTTATAAGTTTTTGGGTTGCTGCTCTTGTTAGTTTTCTCCGTTGGGGTGCCCTTGTGGTCTGTTGGTTACCCGTTCAAACAGTTATGATATGGACGATGAGAAAGCAGCGATGCTGCAAGCATCATGGATGGCTAGAGTTGGTTGGCAACCTGGGTGGCCAGTTCTCTATGTTGGTTGATTCTCACTTTCGATTTTGTCTTTTCTCTTGAATGGCCCCTCCCTGGCAACCCGAAGTTGGTCTGAATCCGCGTCTTTGGATTCTTATTCATATCAAATTAATCTTTTCTATGCTTTTTGTTGTTCTTCTTGTAAGCTATTAATGTGGCCCTATATGGGGTCTTCGTTTGTAACCTTTCTCTTTTATTGTATTCTTTAAAAAAAAGGTTATATTCTCCTTTTTATTACTTGGACAAAAAAAATCATATAAGACATAAATTTCATTATATGCCATTAAGTTAGTCTTTTATTGACCGCCGCACTTAAAATAAAATGTTATAATCATGAGCTCTTCTTATATATAATATATCATGAGTTTTCACAAACATATGAATACTTTGTAGATATGTAAGGTAATAATCATGTTATAACATATTTATTTCAAGCTGAAGGACATTTGTTGAGGGCTCGACAAAATGTTGCCAAAATCACATAAAAATGAATAATATAGTAATAATTTAAAAGTTAAGCAAGTATATGACACAAGATATACTTCATCCAACACAGAGTAAATGAAACTCATGGTCACTTATAAGGTGTGAAAATGTATTAGATGTAGTCCATCCAAGATGAAGAAATATTTATTTCAAATTCACAAGAATATAGGCTAAACTAAACATCTAGTCATTAATCCTCGCCATCACTTCATCGATATCATCATCACAAGCAAAATGAGCTTTATCACCACCATCTTCTTTTGCTATGAGAAAATCTTTTTCGTCAATTTATTTTCTTCAACAAATAATATCTTGGCTCTAAGTAAAGTATGTCCTTATTTCATTTTCCTTTTTCCTTTAAATAATTTCAAACATTTCTCCTTTCAAAAGGATAACTAGTTTTAGTTACATCTCCCCAAATTAGATTTTTTATAACAAACACAAACTCCTCATCTTCAATAGTCTCATCATTAAATTTTTCAATCATTCATTCATTTGAATCATCAATTTAATCTAGAGAAATCTACTCAATAATGTCATAATGGATATAGCATTATATCAAAGCACTATTTCAAAAACAACAAATTCTTGAGGTGATCATGCTCCAACTTATTTATTTTTATGTTATGGAGTTGTGCAAAGTATATCAAAATTACTCTATTAAAATTTCGTATTTACATAAATAACATAAATAGAAGTATTTATGTGTAGAAGTTTAGTGAGTTATTTTCAATATTAAAAATGTTTACATGTTCAAATGCAACCTCATCACATTCATAACAAGATTTACTGCAAAGCTGAACTTTTTAATCACAAAATCATAAAGTGAGTGTATATGAAACATATGCTAGCCACTAATCAATTGCATCCATTACAAGTATTCAAGTTTTAAACAATTAAAATCTAGATATCAAAGTAAAGATGCGAATCCATTACAAGTATTCAAGTTTTAAACAATTAAAATCTAGATATCAAAGTAAAGATGCGAAAGTAGGTTTTTATGCAACTTCTATGAGTAGAGGGCTCACAACACAACATATTTTCACATAACTTCTAGGAGACGAAGGCTAGGGACGACGACTTGAAATTGAGGCATTAAGGTTTATTTGTGTAGCTTTTTGTGGCATAAATAATTTTATTTTAGTAGTTAGGTATTTAGTTAGTACCCATTAGATTAAATACGAGGTATTTAACAATAATCAATATAACAAAATGGCGTGTGCCATGCACCAAATGTCGCCGCAGATGCAATTTTGAAGTTGTGTCACCCCAAAGTTATGTTACAGGTAGTGTGCCTTATTACGCTATGCACCATAGCACGCACTATCATGCATTATTAACTATGTTTATAACTTAACAAGTTTTATTCCTGTATAAATAAAATACTATTGAACAGCTCATTAGTTCCATTAAATTACTGCAAACACACTTCCTCTACAATTATGTAACATCCTCACAGCCTTAAGAATTTTACTTAACAAAATAAACAAAAGTGCTCAAATACTTCTCATAACTCTCAAAATTTAAATGAACATCTAATGTGGACCTAAATATTTACTTAATAAATCTTTTGTATAGCTAAATCAATTAAACTTCATTGATCTCATATACTTTATCAATTGCACTAAATGATTTTAAAATAATCATTTGCATCAAAGCATATGTTGCAAATGTTAAATACTAACCGTCGTATTTTCCAATTGGTAGGGGATAGTGGAACACATGTGATTATCAAAAGAGCTTGATAAAAACTATTATGCCTTGCAGTCCATAAAAAAAAAAAAACCAATTCAAGGACCTCATTCAAGCAAAGTGGATTATTAAATCATCTAGAGTTGTGGATCAACCATAACTTTGAATCTAGATAAACAAGACCTTTAACTATGAGGTCTGGGTCCTTTAATAAGATCTATAAATTATATAAGATCACTAAGCATAATCTACTTAAACATGGCTAATATAAATGATTAATTGCATCAAAAAAAAATTGTAGAAGTCCTAGGAGAGAATAAAAATAAATCTCATATAAGCACAATTGATGCTGAAGTAAGGAATTATTTAGGTTATAAGAAAAAATAAATGTATTCTAAAAATGAGAAAAATATTTAAAACCATTAATTCTACTTATGCGATCCATTTCTAAACCCTCTTAGAATTTTTATACAATTTTTTAGTGTAATTAGTCATCTGATACAAGCCATATTAAATATAACTTCAAATTTTTAATTTTCTCCTTTTAACAGCTTGTCCTAAAAGAAAAAACTTTCACATTCTCAAGATTGATCGCATTATCCTGAGAGAATCTCTCACTCACAACTAATTCTAATGTTGTGCAGCATAACTTACTCTTATTCTCATACTCTATAGATAAGACATACAAATATACACTACAGGGCACATCGTCCAAATGCTTTCCATCCTATCCAAGCATTTAAATGGCATAAACTCGGATTCTATGAAGATTAAATCCAACAATTGTAAGTGTGATATGAAAGTTAACTATAAGAAGATGAATTTTAGATATTCCTTATTGTTCATCTCATCAAGTTCAAAAGCACTTAAGTTATGTAATCGTGCTAAAGTACAAAAAATAACGATGGTACTCGGCTATATTACAATGCAGAAGTTCCCATTATTATTATGCCAAGAAGTGCTTAGCAATGTACAAATAGAAGGGAAAATATATTAATACCAATATGTAGTAATTTTATACCAAAAATCGACCAAAAACATACTTGCATCGCATGGGATATATCGTATGTGTAACTCATTAGTACAAGCAAAGATTAACAACAATCAAATCATCAAGTACCATAAGTTAAAAGACAACTATAATATGTACGCACCGGCCCTTCCATTCAGATTACAATGTTACTAAAACTAAGTCCAACACAAAGGACGCTATCAAAGTTATGTTCCTGTTTCTATGAAAAACTCCAAAATAATTTTAAGCGTACAAGAAGAAAAGCAACAAAAGTTTTTTAAATAACACTTTTTCTAAGAGCATGATGAAAAAAATTGTTCTTCAACAAAACTGCATCGACTCCTTATCACAAGTTAGTGTCTTACCATAATTTTCATCTCTTCTGAACTGAGTTTTATGTGGACCAATTTGTCTATCATGCATGGATACATACAGCTTCTGGTAAGCCCTATACAATCTAGCAAGCATAACAACACGTAGTTATATGAAAAGGAATGAATCACCAGGTCCAAAGTCCAAGAAAACAAATATATGCACTCCAAATACATTACCTTTTATGTAGTCTGGAACTATTTAAGGGTGACGAAAACTCTGACGAAACATATTGGTCAAGATTGATACTCCGATAAATGAAATGCCAAAGGCCTGCCGGCCCACCAATGTCAGACATAGACGAAGGTCCAGCTCTGCCCTGGCTTGGATGTGGACATGGCAAACCAGATCGAAGAGATGAATCAACAGGAAGGTCCTCAACATGCAGTCCACCATCCAGTATTGATTTCTGAACTTCACAGAGAACGTTCGACTTAACAAGCACAGATTCAATCTGAATCCTATTGAGGAAAAAGGAAGCTTCTATTAAAGCAAAATGGAGATGTGAATCTCAATGTAATCTTCTAAAAGTTTCTCCCTCTTCAAGTTTTCAATACATTATTTTTTAAAAGGTCAATATGCTTGTTTGATTTGCACAAATTTGCAACAGCTTCAGACATCAGCACAGAAATCCTTAGTCTATTAATACAAACTAGAACCCACCTGCACTCTTTTAGATGGTAGAAGCCCTCTGAATTAGTACTAAGCAATGCCAAATATGTATCAACCTATAAACGAATGGAAATTTCATCATCCTTTTTCAATGTACTGTATAACTATAACACAAAGAACCATGTAGACTTCAGCAACCGTGTAAGAACATTAGTCAAAATAATTTCAAACGAAGATACAACCTCAAAAGTCATAGATGGAGAAGCTGAGCTAGAGACTCACATCCAGATAATGAACATAAGCATATAGGAACGCCATAGAATTGTAATGAGGTAAGCAAATTGGTGAGAAAGCCTCAGATGTCCTGCAAGATGAAAACACACAAAAAAGTTTAAAAAAAAAAAAAAAAGTACTCAGATGTCCTTCAAGATGAAAACACACATGTACTCAGATGTCCTTCAGATATAATGTACTCAGATGTCCTTCAGATATAATGTACTTAAAAATTTAAGGAATCTTACTTCAAATATTGAAACCCTTCAACAGAATCATTTGAACAAATGTCGTGACTTCAGGTTCTAAATGCATCATTGCATTCAGATTTTTATTTCCAGCATACAGCTATGGCTTTGATAATGTCCTTTATCATCTCATTGGTGTTAATCAAGTTTAATTTCTTTATTTATTTTTATTTTAGATATATAGTTGGAAAAAGAAATTATGCTACTCTTACTTTGATAAAGATTATTGTCCTTAGGGGTGATTATAAATTTTAGGCTACTTCTATAAATAGCCTATCATACTTCAAGGAAAAAAAATAATTAAAAAGATTTGAATGAAAATCTCCAGTCGCACATATTTTAGCTTCCTAGTTCTTTGCTTTGTGGATCTAATAATCAACATACAATGAGGATTAGACATCTAAACTTTGTGAATTAAGAATTTCAGTATTGTTTTTTTTCTTTTAATTTCCTATTAAATCTACAATTTTGTTGCATACCTTGGGTCAATTTGGGCTCATAGTCAGCTTTCTGCTATTTTTGCACTAGTTTTTATCCCATTCCAGCATTTATTTCCCTTGATTATAAAGATTCCTGCATTTTTTTCTCTCCTCCAGTGAAGACAATATTGAAAATCATCTTTAAATATCCATCACATCATCGTTACATGAAAATATCCATCACACCACCATCGATCCCCTTCTTTTATAGTTCTATTAAACAAAGGACTGAGAAATCTTAATTTTCAATGATCTCCTGTCCATAACCTCTCCTCTCTCCTCTACCACATTTCCTATATAACCTACCCCTCCAATTTCTCAACAAACTATTCAATTTTTATCCTTGAAGTAAATATTTTAGATTAGAATTCAAATTCAAATTATCAACCACCGTGTCTCCTAAAATCCCTCATCCTCTAAAATTTTTCAACACCCATCATTATCTAAAACGAAAGTTAAATCTCATATTTAATCCCAAATTGTCAACATCATTCCTAAAATTCCTCCCCAAATTAACCAATCTAATCTAAATTCACAAGTAATTAAACCTCACATAACTGGTTCCACATCTCTTGATGACTAGATTTGGTTTAAAGTCCAAAGCATCATATTCCACCCTATCGTAAGCACGTATCCCAGGACAACCCCTTATTATACTTTAAACAACGCCAACAATCTTTCAAAAAAAAGGCAATTTAAAAAAGGAGATCAAAATAAAATAAAGATAAGATACACATATTTCTTCCTTCAAAATTGTTGATATTTCTTTGAACATCAGCTATTCTCCTCTTAAAGACACTAATTCATAATTGGAGTTGATCTTACTCAGTAATAGGGTATGGTTGCTATAACTAATTAGGAACTTTTCTTTTTTTAATCTTCAAGCTTACTATCGCATATAGTTCCTTGCTTTAACAAACACCATCTCACAATTCACTTTGATGTCAAATACTCAAATTGAGAGTGTAAGTTAAAATTTTTATTTACTTGAGTTGCAAGATACCCAAATTGTGTGTAATTAATATATAAATTAGTATAAGCCCCAGTGAACATTCTTTATGCTATTATGAAGTGATTTTATATTATATTTGAAATCTTGCATACACTTGAAAAAGGCTAGTAATTAGTTTTAAGATGTAATGAAGGATTAGTCTGTTAACAGCATTATTTATGCTTATCTTTGCATCAGCATAACTACATGAATTTTAGCATACTAATATATGAATATTATGGGTTGTCTAAACATCTCATATGAATTAAAACACAAGGTATATGACAGTAATTAGGATGACTACTAGTGAAAAGAAATATATGAATTTTGATTATAAATTTGAACAAAAAATTGATAAGTTGGATGAAATGTATGGCCAAATTTTAGATTTTAAATGAATAAACTTAGAAAATTTTAAGGCAAGAGCATCTCATGATATTCCTTCCTAGCCTAATGACCACATAAAAATCCACCTCATAAAAGATCTTCACCTCCTCCAAACACCTCAACTTTTTCGTAGAACAAGTGCTCAATAACACAAATCTTAGGACACAATATCGTAGAAATCATAGTGCGCCTCCTCGACCTTCTGAGTGCGCCTCCTCGACCTTCTGAGGTTACCAAAAATGTCCAAGAGAGCATATGGATTCTAGAGATTCATTAGAACCTTATAAACGGGAAAGAACATAAGGATTGTAGAAAGCATCGAGACCTTGAAAATTACTATTTTGAAAGCGTGAATATCAAAATTATATGCACCAAGAAAGAGGTCATGGGGTCCCCTATGGTTGACGTCATAATAAATTAGAAGCGATCATAAAAGTAAATATCAATGTATCCTCTATATGCTTCTTGGTAATTCATCTTCACACACTCACACTTCAAGATGCCTATATCTCTAGGTCTCTTGCTTGTCTCTCAATCTCATGAATATTATTGATTTTTAGGTATTCGTTTATCACTTTATTATTTCTATCTTTGGTTTTCCTAGCTTTTTGTTGGCTAAAAATTATTGCTATTAAATTTACCAATGTATTTGCTAAATAATTATTAGTCAATGTAGATTAAGTTTGATTAATTAAATGTTGAGAATAATATATGTACATACAATATAAACCTATGAGTACTCCAATTAGTAAAACTGTCAATTCACTTGACAATTTGCGTATTAAAATAAAGAAAGAACATTTTTACATTGTATTGAACTTAATGCTTAGTGCTTTGAAAATGCTAGCCTTATTACCTTTACTCATAATATATACTTGAACATCAATAGCATAGATATAGAAATATTGTCATATTATTTCAATTTTATGATTCAATATAATATTTATCATTACAAAGATATTCCTCCTTAAAATTACAAGCTGGACATTTGAAATTCAGGCAAAGTAAAAAAACACTCTTTTGGTTAACTTTCATTTTCCAATCTAGGAAAAAAATTATAAAAGGTATAAAATGGAGTATGCTCCTAATGCACAAATAAGAGCAAATATCTTATAATCATCAAAAAATATTATTTTCTTTTGAAAGAGAGAAAAGAACAAGAAATATGAGAGAAAATTTAATTATTTTTTCTTTCATTTATTATTATTATTATACTTTTTTGCATTTACAGGTTATAAGTATAAGTTGTGACTTTAGGTCAAAAAAGATTGCTCACATGTCAAATTAATTGTTCACTTAAAATCAAGCTAATTAAGTCAAACAAATTGAGTCATAAGCAAAATTTTTGGCTCAAATCAATCTTCGATTCTATTTGAGCCTATAGATAAGAATGGGCAGGCTCGCAATTGACTCAAAACAAAAACTTATTATATTATATTTAGGTGTATTTGCATGAATAGGATATAATATAGAAACAACAAATTTAATAAAAATGCATGACCGATACATCATAGAATGGTTGATGAAATTAGTTGAGCCAAAATCCTAAACCTAGAAAACAAGAAATCAATTTTAAATTAAAATTATATAAAAAAGCAACCCCTTTACTAAAAAAAAAAGAATTGATAAGCAATTTTAACCCTTACTATATTTTATATTTATAGAAGCTCCTTTCATTGTAGGAAAAGAAAAGGAAATCATGAAAATTTAGTTGAGCCCAGCACGATATAAATTAATTTGTTGATCGTCCAATTAAAACTTAAGATATCTTGATAGGTAGATGAAAAGTCAAATGCCTACCTACCTAGTACATGCCTAAAATACTGAACAACTAATAAAGCTGAGGCAAGATGATAAAATGGTTGATGAATTCTTAAATCAGTTTAAAAAGTTGAATTTTAGGTGTGATTTGAAAAAAATAATATGGCTAGCAACATCAAATTTGTGAATGTTCTTCATCCAAAAATTAAGATAAATGTATGAATCTTTCCACTAAGACCTATGGATAAAGCCTCATCATAAAGCCATAAAAAAGAAAAGGTGGTTATGTATTTCCTGTAGAAGCACAGCGAACCAGTCTATCACCACAAGGACAGGTCCATTAGGGTCTATTTAGTCAATCATTTTCCATCCCCCATTCAATGTAAGTTAAACCCATTAAAAATTCTGACATTAAAAATGATAAAAACATCGATACATACGCTAATGAGATTGTTTGTTATGAGTGTAAAAAGAAAACTCATACAGCCTCTCGGTGCACACATAAAATTATATCTCTAATACAAGGCTCCAATAACCTTACAAACCATCAAAATGTCGAAGAATTTGAGGTTTAAAAGTCTATTTCCAATAATGATTTGGAAAAAACACAAAATGACTTGATAACTCGCATGATCTACGCATGATCTATCAAAGATTCTTATAAATGAATTTGAATTTACAATAATAAAAAAAAAATCTAGATTTGAAGTTGAAACTAAAGATAAATATAGAAATTTAAAAAAAAAAAAAAAAGAGAGAGTATATATATTAAATATTTTATAAATTCACTACATCTTCATGAATTAAACATCAGATGACTTCTACAGTGACATTCCCCAAGCATACATTTTATGATTTTATTGAATTAAGCAATTAGCATTTGTATGAATTAAATCTTGGGTTTCAAACGAATTTTATTATACAAAACAAAAGACATATGGTTGTTAAACAAGCCCATCATAGCGTTTCAAACTTTTTCATTAACGGTTATAATTTAATTGGTTTGCCTTTCACATAAATTTGTACTCCGCTTATTTGACTTAGATTGTCATAACCATAAAGTCTTCTTAGATTGATAGTGAATTAAGGAACCAAGGTTTAAAAAAGTAAAATTGGGAATCATGGTATTTTGCAATAACGAGGAGAGGAGCCTCGAGGCGGATCAAAGCGTAAGCTCGAGGCGGATCAAAATAAAAGCTCATAGAATTACAAATAATTCATAAAAATGAAAAGAATAAAATAAACCATCAACATATTAAATTGATTCGTCATCATAAAGATACAAACTACAAGTCTCAATATTAAATGCTATTATAAAATAAAAGTTTAAAAGTACATTCAAGATAAACACTAACTTGGACTTAAATACGCCAAGAGGATCAGGATCTACAGTGGCCTCATCCTTACTTTCATATTCTTCATAATGGACCTTATATATAATAATTATATCATCCTTGAATTCTATTCATTGTCATCTTCAAAACTTCTCCAATTACAATATTTTATTTACTCCTTATATCAGTTAACATTGGATTCAATATAATAGAAAGTAATAATACAATAAAGCAATCCATTATATTTAAACCACCATTTGATTTTCTTTTAAGCTCCAACCCCACTTTGCTTTCTTTTAAATAATTATGAAGTAGAAATTATTACCAATTCAATAGTCATTTTAATACTAGCATTGACATATTTATTATTTTCATCATTAAAGGTTGCTCCTCTATCTTCAATTTCAATTCTTTCACTATTTAGTATTATCCATTCATCATCAAATAGTATATCATCAACAACCAAATGATCCATTTCATTATCATCGGTTATTTTCCTCTATAATTTGAGTTGTCTATCTTTCAATTTTTTATTAAACATTACGTAACCAACTTATTCATTCATCCTATAGCCAACACATTCATTATCTTTGTATAATATAATGAAATGTACATTAATAATAATAAAAGGTAATAAAAATTTTTATTAAATTTAAGCTGAATGAGATGTCGTCTCAAATTGCCTTGAGGTGTACGCCTCATTTAAAAAAGGCATAAACCTCATTTGAGATAGAGAGGCTCAATGTGCACCTCAATTCGAGACATGCCTTGAATCCACAACAACTTTCAATTGGGCCCCGCGCGAGACGTGAAATCACAATAGGCGGGCTCCTGAAAAAAGCAATCTTTCTTTGCTAGATTTTTTAAACCATGCAAGGAACTAATGCGTTTGTACATGCTTCTCCTTTTAACAATAGAATTGGTCCTTTTAATAATGCAACGTTGTCATTGAGTTAAGGAACTTGTCTAATATTTGTTGGTATTGCTGCTTTTACAGATGGAGTCATGCAGGTTATGGGATACTTTAATTGTATTGTCGAGATTTCTACTTATAACATGAAGATTTGATGTAACTGAAGGGCAGGTAGAGCTTGTTGTTGGCTGGGCTTTACAATTTTTGTGTCATACACTATCCTTTCAATAACATAAAGGGCTTGCGAGCCGGCCCAAAGCACTCCTATTGTGGGCCCCGAAAATTCGGCTCCGGCCTCCGCTCGCTTTTCTTTTTATTCGGCGAGGGAGTTTTAACTGAATAAGTTCCGAGGTAAATTTTGGAAGGCAGATGGGTTTGTAGATAAGACACTACCCAAAGATTTCGCCCTCATTTTGCGAGGACTTTATGATCTGAGTTCTGGTTTCCTATAGGCGCAAGCCCCTATAGTTAATTACCCCTCCCGCTAACGAGAGAGAACTTTCGATTAAGGCTAGTCGTCAATCAGATACGTAAAGATACGTGTTATCTGGCATATAGTAGCAGCAATGAGTGGATT